TTCTGCCATGTCTTAGCTACTGTAAATAGTTCTTTTATGAACACTAGTATGCATGCATCTTTTCAATTAAAGTTTTCTCCAGATATATTCCCAGCAGTGGGATTCCTGGATCATATGGCAGCTCTAGTTTTAGTTGTTTAAGGAGTTTCCATATAGCTTTCCATAGTAGCTGTACCAATTTACATTCCCATCAACAGTGTTTCCTCCACACCCTCTCCAGCATTCACTACTTATAGACTTTTTTTATGGTGACTATTCTGACTGGTGTGAGGTGGTACCTTATTATAGTTTGACTTGCATTTCTCTAATAATTAGAGATTTTGAGTATTTTTTCATGTCTCTGTTGGGCATCTGTATGATAAGATCATTATTTTTATACAAACTCAATACTGACTTGTAAACCTACAGCCAATACTTTTTCTAAAATGAGAATAAAGCAAGTATGCCAAGTATATCACTATTATTTTATAATATTGCTCTGGAAACTGTGACAAATGCAATACAAAATAAAAGTTAATATATGATCATTTGATCCTTCTCATTATTTCTCCCCTTGATTATTGAACAGACCTTTTCAGTTGGATTCCTTCCCAGTGTGGAGGTGAAAGTTTTCAACTTAATATGTGAACTCTTTAGCACAGAAGGGCTTTCACTGCCTCTGCCCACCTTCTCTGTCCTCTTATCTCACCATCCTCCCTCCCTTCATTCCAGTCTTGTATCAGCTCCTAGAAGTGAAACAAGTGCCTAGTACCTTAGCAACAATCATCCTCTTTCTGAAAAGTCCACCCTCTTATCCTTTTTCTTCAAATTCAGTTGAAGTGCTACATCCTCTAGAAAACCTTTCATGACTTCCTCTAGTCGTATTTCTAGCCCCTATCCTAGACATTCATAGAATCTTGGGGGCACTGAGCTATGAAGACATGTATCATACTGTTCTGCAACCACTAACATAATTGTCTGTTCTCACCTACTAGAGTACAAGTAGCAGATAAAACTACTGGGGAGACGAAGATGTCAAGGGTGCAATGGAGAAAAGTGTAAGAGAAAAATCTAACACGCATTCCACTAGAAATCCAGGAAAAGAAGGCATCTAAGTAGAAAGAAGCCTTTAGCTTTGACATAATGAAGAAGATTCCAAAATATCTCTTCTAGAGCTAACGAATGGCATTTAGAAATTTAGAATAGGCAAAAGGACACTACTTATCTACAACTTCAATTAGCCAAAGCACCAAGGGCCAAAGAAGGAAGGATAAAAATACAGCAAAAAGGGCAAAAAGCCCTTTCTCGTCTCTACTCTTCTTCTAGAGATGGAAAAAGTCTAGTTCTGGTTACTCTGAGACAAGATATATTAAGAGCAAAATACATGGTAAGCAGAGGAAAAAAAGGAAGCACGCCTATCAACTCAGATTTCAGAGTCTGAGATATTAATGGCTTAAATGGAAAATGAACTTTAGGCAAAAAAGAAACGATAAAGAACCCTACAAAGTCTCCATGACCCCGTCCCCACGCTCTACTTCAGATATGGAGGAAAGCACAGGAACAAAATTCATCAATTCTCACCTGTTAATACTTAACTCTAGAAAAACAATATATAGAACATTGGCAGAAAGAAAAACAGACCTTAAAAATGTCAAGGCTAGAGGAATCACTTTGGGTGGCCTTGATCCCACAAGAGGGAACAGGAATGCCCAATGGGCAAGACACCAACAATTCTGCCCAGGGAGCCCACACCGTTCTTTCATGCCGATGAATACCGGGAACCAGTTCTACCATCCGAGATAAGGTGCAGCTTACAGAAACTTGGATTTACACTTCAGAGTTACAATGAAGTTGGGAGCAGAGGGAGGCAATTCCTGTTTTCATCTTGTCAGTCCCTTTAACCAAGAGGTGAAAAAATATATCTTCATTTTATGGATTCAGAAAAGTACAAGTGTTAGTCGCTCAGTCGTGTCCGGCTCTTTGCAACCCCATGGGACTGTAGCCCACCAGGCTCTCCATGGGATATTACAAGCAAGAATACTGGAGTGAGTCACCATTCCCTTCTCCAGGGGATCTTCCCAACCCCGGGATTGAACCCAGGTCTCCTGCACTGCAGGTAGATTCTTTACCATCTGAGCCACCAGGGAAGCCCTTTATGCATTCAGAAAGGTAAAAGTAAAAGTTGTTCAGTCATGTCCGACTCTTTGAGCCCCTATGGCCTATACAGTCCATGAAATTCTCCAGGCCAGAATACTGGAATGGGTAGCCTTTCCCTTCTCCAGAACTTTTCAACCCAGGGAGCGAACCCAGGTCTCCCACATTGCAAGAGGATTCTTTACCAGATGAGCCACAAGGGAAACCCTTTACGCATTCAAAGACTTACAAATTCACTCTACAAATAAATGTGGGTACAGACTACCTGGCATGCTACAGTCCATGGTGTCGCAGTTGGACACGACTTAGTGACTGAACAACAGACTACACCAGGCGCTCAGGGGGCCTGGGAGAACAGGCGTGATCCCTGGAACACAGAGCACTCAACCTAACGAGAAGACAGTAAGAAGCAGGTACACTACCACCTCCATTTATGACTGGAAGGAAGCACCATAGACATACAGAGGACTCGCGAAAGCCAGCCAAAAACAAACCATGCCTAAGATGAAACCCAAAGGAAGAATATACCACACAAAGCAAAAGCATATGTGATGGTTAGGAGGCAAAATACTTTTGCACATCTTAAGGAAATAAAAATTTAGAAAGGCTAGTGCAAAAGAAGTTGAAGAAGGGGGAGAGGAGGGACCAGAGAGACGGAACTGGAGAGATGAGGAAAGCTGGACCACCTGAAGTCCTACAAACCAGGTTCTTAAGTCTGACTTCTATTTTAAAAACATTAAGAGTTACCGGGAAGGGTTTTAAGCAAATAAGTCATTTGACCAGAACTGTATATTTTGAAAGCTCTTGGGCTGTGTAGTATGAAAAGTAATCAGAAAAGGAGATCAGTTAGGAAATGGCGAGGCTAATCAGGTCAACAGCAATGATCACAAGATAAAACAGAAACCAAAAAGTACAGAAAATAATTAAGTCTGATGACCCACAGTCCAGAACAGAAGGAATAATGATGTTTAGAAATAGCTCCCGGTCTGTTACACCTTAAATGAGATCAACTCTTGCAACTGTCCTACAGTTGCCTTAGTATCCTCTACCCAAAATCATTCCTGACGTCAGTCACCAAATAAACCTGCCTTCCCTACTATATCTAAACTGTACCAACCAGCTCTCCAATGCAGTAACCATCTGGCGTATGTGACTATTTAAATTAATTAAAATATATTTTAAAATGTATTTCCTCAGTAGCAACAGGTCCATTTCAAGTGCTGAATAATAAGAGATGCCCAATGGCTACTGAGTGCCCACAACTGTTACAGAGCATCTCCATCAGTGCAGAAAGAAAGATTTACTGGACAGTAACGGGCAAGTGGTGTACCTACACCTGCTGCTTCACCCCATAACCCTAATGGGACCAACACAGCCATCTGAGAAGGCACCTCTGAAAACAGACCTGCTTACCGTCTTAGACCCACACCTTCACAGTGGAGTGAAGAATCATGGTGTACAAACCACATGATAGACCCTGTGTTTTGGCTCATTAATCCCCACTATACTCTGAAGAAGTAGAAAAGCAGCAGGCGTCACCCATGTTTTATAGGTGAGGACACCAAGGCACAGAAACTACCCTAACTGAAGCTATAAAGGCAATAATGGAGTCACAAATAAAAGCTGGAATCCCAGACACCCTGACCAGTGCTCCATTCGTTAGAGCAGTCATGGCTGATTTAAGCACCCACAAACAGGAACTATTCTGTTTTACCTGAACAAAGCAACCACCTGCTCTACCAAATGGATCGCTATCCCCACGAGAGGGTCATACCTGTTAGACATGTAAATATGTATACATACACACACGCGGCCTATTGTAATACACATGTATGTGACATGTGTGTGTAAAAAACTTAAAAAAAAAAAAACAGAAAAATTTAAAAAATAGAAGATACGTATTTTCTGAGTTTGCCCCAACCATCTTATCAATAATGGGACATTAAAAACATCAAAACTAACAGCACCAAGGTATGGTAGATTCCTGAATTATTATTTATCTTTCAACTACATTATATGATTACCTATTTTTAAAAAAATTGAAACCTAGAAGATCTGCATTTTGTAATCTTTATTTCCTTCTGTAAACAGAGCAAGTCCTGACTTTTGTGTGCTACTTCCAAACCTGCAGCAGTAATGGGTAAACAGAGAGGCAATTCTTACATTTTCATTTCAACTGCTTCATTAAGTAAAAAGAGTAAAATAATATATAGGGAGACATGAACCAAGTTAGAGACTACAGATATAAAATCCACATACAGCATTTACTTGTGACACTCATGACAACAGCAACTTTAAAATGCAACCGCCAGCATTCACTGATGAGTCTCTGTGCTCCAATACCGGGAAACGATTTACTTGGAGGTTCACTTGAATGATGTGAAAAATCTAAGAAATAATTTGACTGCACTTGGCTAACATCTGAATTCTTACATATTTTAAATGTAGTTATACTAAATATTCAGGAAAAGAAGAAAACGAACAGAAGATTTACAATTTTAAAGTATTGGGGAGCATACAAAATAGTTATTTACAGGCTTCTAATTCTTGCCTTATTAATAAGTATGAATCAATCTATATAATATAAAAACTGAATGACTTTTTCCAGAAACTTGAAGCTTCCAAAATTAGTCTGAAAACTGTTTCTGAATTAAAAGCATATACCTCCCTTTGACATATAAGAATTAGAAAGGAAAAGGGCATGAATGTTGATTTTAAGTCTAGAATATATTGACCACATCTAAATATAGTTGTGAAAAAGAAAAGAAACAGTCATCAACTTAGGTAGTAAAGTCTCTGCTTCATCAAATGCCTTGTTTCAATAAAAAGTCAGCAGAAAAAAATAGGCTTTAAGGTGAACTACTTACACTGCCTCCCTGGAGGCTCCATAGGCGAGTAGCAGCTTGACAATGTCCACATGCCCATTCTTCACTGCGTCATGAAGAGGTGAGTCGTTCTGATACCCAGTGGTATTCACCAATGCCTTGTGCTGGAGCAGCAATTCCACCACCTTCAGGTGCCCGTGATTGCAGGCTTCATGCTGATTAAAGGAGAGTCAGAAGAGTAATGAGGAAGACCAATGAATAATATCATAACAAAACCACACTTCAGAAAAATAAAATATGAACCTCAGTCAGAAAATTGGCTCTTACCTAAATACTCATACAGACCGTAAATTATAGACAGAGTAAAACCATTCTTAATAGTCTTTAAGGTAAGATAGGCTGCAATCAAGATTTATGCAATTCATAAAAAAGATTTTTCTCATCTGAGCCTTGGGTCAAACGCTCTTTACTGGGAAAAAAACGTAGCTTTACTCCAATTACAGTTCCTAAATTGCTCTATAGCAAGAAATTTAAAACGAGGGGGAAAAAAAACATAGAAAATATTTCAAAACCAGATCATGCATAAAATCTGAAATCCTTCAAGGCTGAATAGTATTCACTAAATCAAGTGCTTAGCTATAAGCTAAGCGGCGCATATGTACGTAAGCACCGCATATGTACGTAAGCACCCAGCAAAGTGAATATCCTAGAATGAGAATTGATGAGACAAGCCTCTCTAGTTGTGGAAGCTACAGATATTGTATGGCTGGTGTCAGTGACAACAGATGTAACACAGAGGAGGTGCTGAGAAGGAACGTACTGAATGACATAACTGGTAATATGTTGGAATGTTCAAAGATGCTTCACACTGCAAACCTTCCTTATGTTTAATGATCTCCTAACGATGCCCCTGCGTTGTATTCTAAGAAATCTCTGGCATACCATGCCTTTTAAGTACATACCTTCAAATCTTAATAGGCAAAACACCACACTGAATGCTGGGAGGTCTATTTCTAAGAGAAAGGACTCCAAATTAGGTCTCATGTCCCCTAAATCATTCACCAATTTTCATTAAAGTTTGCCTCAGTTGCTTAAAAGAAAAATTAACCTTTCTTTGAAAACGTTAGACTGACTGTCTGTGGAGTGCAAACAACAAAGTGACTCTAATCCAGAGTAATCACTTCCAGCTTAAAAAATTGCAGGGAGAAGTCACTGTAGACAAGTTTAAAACCTTTTTTGCACCTGGTCTAAGGAGAATCTCTCCATTTCTTCCAATTTACAGTTCACAGAATAAGGGTATCCATCCCATCTCTTGATATTCTATGGCTGTATTCAAACCACGTGCTAACTGTCCTCATGATCCACTCAGCACTTGTTTCCACGTACCTGTGCCATTCTTTTCTGTTCTTCACATTGTATTTGTAGCAATGAAAAGCAAAGACTTTAAAAAGTGTTTAATGTGAGCAAAGATTTCTACTACCTCTGTGTGTCTGTAACCGGACAGGGTATAAGTGAGGCCAAGACAGACGCTCAGTAAGAACCGCTGCCCTGTGCTACATTCCTACACCCAGTTCTTGACTTCTTTTTCCTGAAAACTGTGGTTCCAATGACATGCAGTGCTGCAGAATAGAGCCTGATGTCTGTTGTAGCAGTTAGCTTTCCATACATGAGCTAAATTCAGCAATATAGTGGAACCAGATTCTTAAATCCAGATTTAAGGTCAAAAGGTAGGCAGTTTTTCACCTGTCACAACTGAAAAGCTAGATGAAACATGACGTTTACCCTTATTTGTTTAAAACATGAGTTCTTCAGATTAAAAAGACACTATATATATATATATATATATATATAACCACATTGTAAGAGGTATTCAACAGAAGGGATGTCGCCCTAGTAGAACAATGAGAAAGTACAATTAAAAATCACCAAGGAAAGAAAAAAAAAAAAAAACTCATGATTTTCTATTTCTTCTTTAAGATTTTTGTCTTCAAGATAAAATTCAAATCTGTTCTATGCCCATTGCTCATGAGTCAATAAATAATAAGTTACTCATGCATGGATTGTTCTGAGATATCAACTCAAACTCATGTAGTCCATCTCTGAATAGAGTCCAATATCTCTGCTATAGGCAACCTGTATCAAAATTCATTCCAAAATACCAAGGAGAGTAGTGAAAGTTCATCTTATCACAATGAGTTTTGAAAGTCACCATTTCATTTGTTAAAAACATCCTTTTTGAGGAAACAAGAAAATGATTTCTGATTATCATTTAAAACATAATTAAAGCCAAGAGGGCATCTTGTTGAAGCCAATGTTAAACCCAAAATTGCTGTCTTATTCATAGCTAATCCACTGATCATCAAGACATTAATTTAGTTTCAGTTCAATTCAGTCACTCAGTCGTGTCTGACTCTTTCTGACCCCATGAACCGCAGCACGCCAGGCCTCCCTGTCCATCACCAACTCCCAGAGTTTACTAACACTCATGTCCAACGAGTCAGTGATGCCATCCAGCCATCTCATCCTCTGTGGCCCCCTTCTCCTCCTGCCCCCAATCCCTCCCATCATCAGGGTCTTTTCCAATGACTCCACTCTTCGTATGAGGTGGCCAAAGTATTGGAGTTTCAGATTCAGCATCAGTCCTTCCAATGAACACCCAGGACTGATCTCCTTTAGGATGGA